ATCAAAGGGCGCGTAATATTTTTATCAATTTTTCGTCGGATTTTAAGAGTTTTCGGGCATAAATTTGAAAATTAATTGGCTCACGAGGTCGTTTGCGTATATTTAGGGCGTCACGTGCCTCCTTCGCTTCGCTAATCGAGCTTCTGAATGCCCTTATCAGTATCTCGCGCGCCCCCTACGTGCCGGGATGGCGAACGACTTCATTTGCTCGACTCCGATAGGACGCGCGACTAATTCATTTCGACTATTTTCATTATAAACTTGTAACAGGTCTAAGCTTTATTACGACGTTAAAATTTCATTACCGGTTTCAGTCGTAATTGAATTGAGTAAATTTGGTCCTTCGCTTTGCCGAATAGGAGATCTCGCCGTATACCTGTAGGTAATTTTAGTTACCTATGCTTTGTCCACTTTTCGTATTACAAATTAATGTTAGTGAAGGCACACGATCCAACTTTTACCCAGACGCTAATGAATCACCTTTGAAGTCCGGAAACAAAGTCTGTCAGATTTATCGTTATTATAGTTTTCCAGACATCATTGCCGTCGACGCTCCTTTCCCTGTCGGGCATTCCATACTAAAAGCCCAGGAAGGGTTTATTTGGCTTTTATTGATAAGTGCTGAGAAATGGGAATGTTTTGAAGGGAGTACACAGCACCGGGGAGTCCAATCTTGGAACTGTTTGAAATTATGGATTCTACGGGCCACATTCTATAAGAAAATGTTTTTTCTCGGTCGATCTAAGACATTTTTTTTTGTGGCCTCAAAAAAGGCAGTGTATATCCTTTTTTACCAAAAATCGACTGCACCAAAATTTTCGGGAAACACTTTTTCTTATTAATTTTGGTGCGTAGAATCCAAAACAATTCGTACTTTTTCGATCAGACTTCTCAATCAAAAGTTATAGACTAGAAACCAATTTCGAAAAAAAATTCAAGGGCTGTAACTTTTGAATAGTCAGCCCAATCTTGGAACTGTTTTGAAATTATGGATTCTACAGGCCACATTCTATAAGAAAATTTTGTTTCCGGGTCGATCTGAGACAATTTTTTTTTCGGGGCGCAAAAAAAGGCAGTGTATAACCTTCCTTTTTTACCAAAAATCGACTGCACCAAAATTTCTCGGGAAAACACTTTTTCTTATTAATTTTGGTGCGTAGAATCCAAAACAATTCGTCCTTTTTCGATTAGACTTCTCAATCAAAAGTTATAGACTAGAAACCAATTTCGAAAAAAAATTCAAAGGGCTGTAACTTTTGATCTAGTACCCAGGATCTCCCGGTGGTACAGCCTTTCAAAACGTGCACGACCATCAATACTTGGCTTGATCATTTTTGAGGAAAAGCCATCGGAAGGGTAAGTCTAAAGGACTTTTTGAAACCCTTTAAGAAACTTTAAGAACTTCTAAAAGGTTTTATAAAGTATTTAAGAGTCTTCATAGATCACAAAATATTTTCTCTCAAAAGTAAAGTTTATTACAGTCCTTGAGGGCATTTAATGATCTTCAAAAGTACTTAATACCTAAACGTTAAAGAGCCTTTAAAATCCGTTTTGCTTCAAGAGTATCCAAGACACTAACTAAATAATCTTTAAAAGCATCTCCAACAGCTTCTCTGTACCAGTGTAATAGGGTTTTCTATTCAATTTTCCTCTCAGAATTAAGACCGCGGGCGCGAATTTCGTAACACCTTGTATATTGTTTAAATAAGAAATGTATCGGATTTATTGAAATGAAATGGACATATTGAGTTGTATCCACGAAAAAGCTATTATAAAGCTGCCATCAAGTAATAATATTAGACAATCTGTTTCTAATAGGAACAGTCTGTTATTAGTCTTTGAATTTACTAAAAAATAAGTCACGAACACAGTTTATTATAATATAAATTGAGAAATAATATCAGGAAAAGAGCTTATTAATGAACTGGAATGATAAACCTAATATGAATACTTTTAATTGTATTATATTTGAAACGGAATTTTATAATGAAAATATAAATGTAAGGGATCATGATCATATCAGTGGAAAATATAGGGGTACAACAAGCAATAGATGTAATTTGATTTTATTCCAATAATTCACAATTTAAAATATGATCCAAGGCTGTGAAGCTTGACTCTCCTATTGGCGGTTTTAGAATTATAGTTTTCTCAAAACGACCGCCAATAATCTCGAGCGCCGCCGTTTCCTTTGGCCCACTTTCGCAAATTACCCGTCGCCTTATCAAACGATTACGGATAGCCCCCTAGCGATTATCGAAACTCATTTAGTTAACCTAATTAATCCCGACACTCGGGCATCTGTAAACTTTCCCAATTTTCCACGCGTATCGATCGCGGGAGAGTTTTAATAACGACAGCCGCTAAATATAGAAATGTGTTTTTTTTCGGCGATCGATGGAACACATCCGATATGAATTTCAATTACGTGATAACTGAAATTAAATAATTGCGCTTTTACTTGAACGATTCTGTAATTTTCGGTCGCATAGTAGAGCTCTTTCTGGTCGGGTTTAAATTAAAGTGTCAATTTGTTGATTCGTCGTCGAGCCCGTCTCTGCTACTTTATCATCATCAATCGACGTCCCATTCGAAGTGTCACCAGGACCCAATGAATGGATAAATCAAATGGCCATTACGCTCCATTAACGAAAATAAAAGGACTCCTTTACGGTCAAATCACGAAAAACATTAAATTCTTGGATTAGAAAATATCGATGGGCGAAAAGAACACTTTTTACACACCCTGTATTCAGTTTTCTTTAATCCAAATAGTCGTTCCTAGACCTCTAGACCAGAGGGTAATTCAAGGACACATCCTTAGGGGGAAAAATACGAAAAATCTAAGGCCACGCAATTTATAACAGCGCAAATTATTTATTACTTCGGCATTGAAGTTGGAACTCTCTCAAACGCAATTCGATTTGTTTATATAGCAAACGCCCCTTTTTCTCGAAAGTTCTCGAACGCTCCCGAGTATTTTAGAATGTTCTCGAACAAACACGTCGCATTTCCCGAAAAAATTGCGTCACATTCGCCTTCGTTCTTTATCGCCGATGACTAATATTTCACGGCGACTTGAGTGCTCTGGAACATTCGCTACGTATCAAACCCCATCAAATCCCAGTCTATTGGAATTTTCTTTTAACTAAAAGCAAATTAAATCACAATCCTGAAGGTATCAAATATACACGTCCCATCGGACATTCACAGATTGGCAAATTTGTACTAACAATTTCCAACAGTCATACATCAATTAAGGGGCGCTTTTAGACGATAAACTTACTTCTCCACGTTTCCGGCTCGGAAGGTCCATAAATCCGAAATATCGCACTTCTTTCTTAAACGTATAAATTACGCCACTCCATTTTGAACGTGTCTTACATGTCTTATTATCATGATAACGTACTGGCGGGAATTGTCTCGATAAATAACGGGAGAATGGCAACCCATTAGCCTTTCAACGTGGGGAGAGAGCAACCGAATCGACTCCTAATCTCGAAACAGTAATTTCCTGAACAAAATGAAAATTTGCTTCGCTCGATTTTTACGCGGGCCCCAATATAATGGCGTCGTTAATTATGAGGGGCTGTAACTTTCCGTTGTTATGTTATTAAACACGGCTTTGCGTACCTAATAGGTGAATTTTTGATGGAGAGCGGCCGACGCTTACATTTTAAAATGCCAAATGGATTTTCGGGACCAATTGCTTCATATTCATGAGGCGTGTGGTAGTCACGTTTCCGTACAGCACACGAAAGCTGGGGAGAGAGAGAAGGATGCTTCATGGTTTATTAATAAAACGATATACGGATGCTGTATTTACAAAATACAAATTACAATACTGGCAGAACGCGACCGAACGACTTTTATCTCTCCGCTCGGCCTCTATCGTTTTAAGAGGATGCCTTTTGCACTTCGAAATGCGCCCGCTACATTGAGATTTCGCTTAAAAATTGATAACTGTTATCAGTCGTCGGATCCATTTTCTAGAAATTCAATGTCTGTGTAATTGCATTACTTCTGGCGATTAACCGGATTTGGTGTGGATCGGGATACACTTTTCTCTAAACTGGAGGCTATAATTTGAATTTATTTGGATACGTAAGTTGTCATTTTGAAGATTGCACCGATTTCTGAAACGTTTCTTCGGATTCCTGCCTGAAATTATTCTGGAAAGCGACTCTCACCATTGCAAACACTATAATTTTATTCGGGAAAAAGGGTTGACGCAATTCCAAAAAAAAAAACATTTCCAGAGAATGAGTGTAAATAAAGTTCGAACAAATATCTCCACAAAGAAACACGAGGCGGTGGCGTTTCCAAGTTACGTTTAACAAAAGGATAAATTCAGTCTTCTAATTTCCATTTACTCAAACGGTAGTATTTCCATTTAAGAGACGTAATGGGATCGGAAGTTTCCTCTCGGTACGATTGCTCGCGTCAATCATATCACCTATTTTTTTTCGGGTACTAAAAAGAGTTACGTCAATACGTGACGGAGGTACGGGGGTGGAAAATTTAATCAATTTTCGTTTCACACTCGGCTTTCAAACGATTCTTTAAGGTCTCCGACGCCATTAAATATTTAAAAAGGAAACCTGGGGCACGCGCGCGCCTCGGGCGAGTAAATAAACTATCGACGGACCGAAAACGTAACCGAAGCGTTTTAATTGGCTTGATAACTGTATACGATTGACCCTAATTAATATTTAAATTATTTCATATACGCCTGGATTGCTAAACGTGCTGGACCACGCCGGTGGTGCGAAGCGTGAATCCCGTTAATGAAAGCGAAACTTATAATTTATTTATAATCTCGGGGAATTGTTTCCCGTTCAGGCAAGTTCTTACTATAAACATCGAATGTTTTCGCAAGTTTGTGTTGAAGTTCTGCGGTAATGTGGCAGCCCTTCCGACCGACGCCGACGGTGCTACCACAAGCAGGGGAAAACTTTTGTATAGAAATTTCGATCCTAAGAAATTGTTTTTCTACTTACTCGGTCTTACTTCTGGTCCAATTCCGCTTCTGATTGCTTCAGCATCTAAAACAAAAGAGAAAAATGTAGTATAATATTGAATCGTTAAGATCTAGCACCAAACCGTAGATTTGTTGATAGAAAAATTTTTGTAATTTTCAAAATTTCTCGCTCGCTCAATGGCTTCATGGCCATCGATTTAAAAGAGAACGGATGGACCGAAAAAATAAATAATGCCCTTTTGATATCTTTGTTCGTTATGAACCGAATTGCATGAAATTCAAACTGGGCATAGCCAGTACCAAATCAAATGTAATGTCACCGCTTTGGCACTTTTGATTTAGTATCGTCAGAGCTTAAGAACAAGTCCCGCGAGGGTGCGGGCTTCCGCTAACAACTAACTAAGATGCCGCGGATGGCATCAATTGAACCTTCGATTCTCAAGATGTCTGCAAAAGTCCAGGCTGAATATACTGAATTTTTTCCGAATCCCGAAAATTTTTGAATCTCCCAGACCTTTCACATATCATTCCCGAATTGGCCTTCCAAAAGTTCTAATGAATTTCCGAATCTTCCCAAAGGCTTATCTGAAACATTCAAAACCCTTTTGCGCCCTTCTTCTTAAATATACTTGAATCGATCCAAAACCGATCTAAAACATTGTCTTTGAATCCTTCATAAATCCCCCTTAAATCGTTCTTAATTCTGAATGGAATCCGTTTTCGCATATATCGTAAAATTTTCTGGACGCTGCCCAGACCCCCCGGTGCTACTTTCACTCACGAAACGTTCAGCAATAGACTCTTTCCAAAAATTATGCTATAAGTGCTTAACTTCTTATGGAAGAATGAAGAATCTGGAGGTCTGGGGAGTGGGGCATACCCCCCAGAAACAAAAAAAAGGTCTATGTTAATTTTCTTGCACATATCGTAAAATTTCTGGACGCTGGGGGGTATTCCATACCCCCCGGTGCTACTTTCACTCACGAAACGTTCAGCAATAGACTCTTTCCAAAACTTTTGCTATAAGTGCTTAACTTCTTATGGAAGCATGAAGAATCGGGGGGTCTGGGGGTGGGGCATACCCCCCAGGAACAAAAAAAAGGTCTATGTTAATTTCCTTGCACATATCGTAAAATTTCTGGACGCTGGGGGGTATTCCATACCCCCCCAGAGTGCTACTTTCACTCACGAAACGTTCAGCAATAGACTCTTTCCAAAACTTTTGCTATAAGTGCTTAACTTCTTATGGAAGAATGAAGAATCGGGAGGTCTGGGGAGTGGGGCATACCCCCCAGAAACAAAAAAAAGGTCTATGTTAATTTCCTTGCACATATCGTAAAATTTTCTGGGCGCTGGGGGGTATTCCATACCCCCCAGAGCTACTTTCACTCACGAAACGTTCAGCTATAGACTCTTTCCAAAAATTATGCTATAAGTGCTTAACTTCTTATGGAAGAATGAAGAATCGGGAAGAATGAAGAATCGGGAGGTCTGGGGGGGGGGGGGCATACCCCTCAGGAACGAAAAAAAGGTCTATGTTAATTTCCTTGCACATATCGTAAAATTTTCTGGGCGCTGGGGGGTATTCCATGGAAGAATGAAGAATCGGGAGGTCTGGGGGTTTGGCATACCCCCCAAGAACAAAAAAAAGAGTCTATGTTCATTTTCTAGCACATATCGTAAAATTTTCAGGACGCTGGGGGGTATTCCATGGAAGAATGAAGAATAGGGAGGTCTGAGGGGTTTGGCATACCCCTCAGGAACAAAAAAAAGAGTCTATGTTCCTTTTCTTGCACATATCGTAAACTTTTCTGGGCGCTGGAGGGTTTTCCATGGAAGAATGAAGAATCGGGAGGTCTGGGGGGTTTGGCATACCCCTCAGGAACAAGAAAAAGAGTCTATGTTCATTTCCTTGCACATATCGCAAAATTTTCTGGACGCTGGGGTATTCCATGGAAGAATGAAGAATCGGGAGGGTAGGGGGGTTTGGCATACCCCCCCCAGGAGCAAAAAAAGTCTTATGTTCATTTCCTTGCATATATCGTAAAATTTTCTGGACGCTGGGGGGTATTCCATGGAAAAATGAAGAATCAGGAGGTCTGGGGGGTTTGGCATACCCCCCAGGAACAAAACAAAGAGTCTATGTTCATTTCCTTGCACATATCGCAAAATTTTCTGGACGCTGGGGGTATTCCATGGAAGAATGAAGAATCGAAAGGCCTGGGGGGTTTGGCATACCCCCCAGGAGCAAAAAAAAGAGTATGTTCATTTACTTGCACATATCGTCAAATCTTCTGGACGCTACCCCCCAGACCCCCCGGGTGCTACGTTAACGCACGCAAACGTTCAGCTATATATCGGCAACGTTATTAAAGAGTCATTCATTTGCATAGGTAACTCGATTCGCGCCTTCCTTGAAACCTCGACTTGATCGCATCGCATCTTCACATAATCGTCTCTGGCCAATTCCAGGTCGTTAAGCGTAATTGCGACGACACTGTTGCAAGTTTCGAACAAGACAAGATCAAATGGCCTGTAATTATGTCAATTGTACGACGACCAGATCGACCGAAAAGCGATCATCTCGCCGCGACTAATCCCTTATAGCTACCTTGTCATCAGAGACGGAGATCGACTTCCAAATTAATTAGAAGAGGGCGCTTCGATTTTTGCACGTAACAATGGCGGGAATTTATATAATCGCCGCGAGACCCATTTAGCCGCACTTCTGTTACGAACTTGGATATTCGACGCTATTAATAGTTCTTGTAATGATTGTTCTACTGCCAAGTTGCGCTATCTCTTCACATTGCAGTGGTTTAGGACCATGTAGTTACATTAGACTGTTTTTATGACTAGAGCGTTGGAAGGAAGTCGATTTGCGAAAGGGAAAATGCCATCAAAATTGTAAAAATCAAGTTCTACAGTTCAGTAAATGCAACGGTTTGAATTTGAACATGAGGGTTGAACTGATGCCACAAGGGTCGCGTTATTAGTTTTTTTTTAAATAAATTTAGTGATTAGCTGTCCTCCGATCGTATTCCGAAGGAAAGATTTGCAATCTTTAGCATTAGACCATGTTAGAAAGTATTTCCGGTTGACGAAGAAATTATAGACCACCGCATATGACACAATTTAATTATTATTTATCTCAGAAACTTCCTCAGTCATTATCGAATCGTATTAATTAACCTCTTAAGGGCTTGAGTACTTCTTGTCGCTGGGTCACTGAGTTTTTTTTCCGAATTCTTTAAAACTGTTTTCTAAATCACTTCCAAATCTTTATTGAATCTTAAAGATTGACTTGAGGCTACTTTCTTACAATTCAAAGATTTCGAAAACAATAAAGTCATTAATAAGTTGGATATTGATTTGTTGAGATTGAATTTGCATATTGGAAACATGACAAAACCTCCCTGGCCCCATCGCTCTACACTTTATCAAAATAGAACGTCAATAGTCTTCAAACAGCGCATATAAAGACCCTTCCGAATACGATAAATTACGGCCTTAAATCCAACCTGCCAAGTCGAAACTGTGTCCCCTACGTCGCTGATTTCATAAAATATGTAACGGACCCCCTGGTGGTCAATATCCTAACTTTCAGACGAGGATGTCGCCCTCGCTCGCGAAGGTACAAATCATTCTCAGGCCCATTATAAATCATAAAGCAAATTCGCCCGTAATCAATACGTTATTCAGCCGACGGAAGCATGGAAATTAAACTTCGCCACGAGTCGGGGAAGTTTTATTTGTATTTAAGCGACGGCGGACTTATCTTCTCCACACAGGATTAACGCTTTATTAGATTTTCCATCAAAACTTCGAACAAAGAAGCTGCACTCTCGTGAATAATTTACGGTTTAAGTTTTGGGATCGAGTGGTCCAACCTGTTGGCCATCTCGTGCTGCACGTTGGAGAACAGTCGCTGAGTTCTGGGCCATCATCAATCTCTTTGCTCTAGATTTCCAGCAAACACGTGCATGTCTAATGCCCCCCCCCCTCCCCCGCCGCCTGAGATTGTGCATTATTCAATAAAACGTTAGCATTTTTAGTGAATCCTTAGACCTGAGTTTTACGGAGAAAGTAGCACCAGGGGATCTGAAACACCCCTCAGCATACGAAAATTTTAAGCTCTAGGGAAATGAACATTGAATCTTTAATTCCTGGGGGAGGAGATTGGGGGTACTATGAATCTAGAAAGAGAACTTAACACCAGGCAGTGTGGGGATATGTAATTACCCCCAAGAAACAAAGTTCTTATGATAGTTGGTAGGGAAATGAACATTAAATCTTTAACTTCTTGGAGAAGCGGGGAAGGGGGAGGGGGTATAGCTGAATCTTGAGAGAGAACATAACACCAGGCAGTGTGGGGATATGTAATTACCCCCAAGGAACAAAGTTCTTATGATAGTGGTAGGGAAATGAACATTAAATCTTTAATTTCTTGGAGAAGCGGGGAAGGGGGAGGGGGTATAGCTGAATCTTGAGAGAGAACATAACACCAGGCAGTGTGGGGATATGTAATTACCCCCAAGGAACAAAGTTCTTATGATAGTTGTAGGGAAATGAACATTAAATCTTTAATTTCTTGGAGAAGCGGGGAGGAGGGGGGGGGTATAGCTGAATCTTGAGAGAGAACATAACACCAGGCAGTGTGGGGATATGTAATTACCCCCAAGGAACAAAGTTCTTATGATAGTTGTAGGGAAATGAACATTAAATCTTTAATTTCTTGGAGAAGCGAGGAAGGGGGAGGGGGTATAGCTGAATCTTGAGAGAGAACAAACACCAGGCAGTGTGGGGATATGTAATTACCCCCAAGAAACAAAGTTCTTATGATAGTGGTAGGGAAATGAACATTAAATCTTTAACTTCTTGGAGAAGCGGGGAAGGGGGAGGGGGTATAGCTGAATCTTGAGAGAGAACATAACACCAGGCAGTGTGGGGATATGTAATTACCCCCAAGAAACAAAGTTCTTATGATAGTGGTAGGGAAATGAACATTAAATCTTTAACTTCTTGGAGAAGCGAGGAAGGGGGGGGGGTATAGCTGAATCTTGAGAGAGAACATAACACCAGGCAGTGTGGGGATATGTAATTACCCCCAAGAAACAAAGTTCTTATGATAGTGGTAGGGAAATGAACATTAACTGTTTAATTTCTTGGGGAAGCGGGGAGGGGGAGGGGGATAGCATGAATCTTGAAAGAGACCACCAGGCAGTGTGGGGATATGTAATTACACCCAAGGAACAAAGTTCTTATGATAGTTGTAGGGAAATGAACATTAAATGTTTAATTTCTTGGGGAAGCGGGGGGGGGGGGGGCATGAATGAAGAGAGAACGTAGCGCAAGGCAGTTGGGGGTTATGTAATTACCCCCAGGGAAAGAAGACCTTACGATAGTTGTAGGGAAATAAATATTAAATCTTTCATTGCTTGCTGGGGGAGAATGGTGGGGGGGGGGGTCTGGAATACCCTCAGCATACTAACATTCTATGATACTTCTAGGAAATGAACATTACAACTTAATCCCTTATTGGAGGGGGGGGGATCAACATTAAATCTTCAATTGATGGTACCTCCAGGCTCTCCGATTCTGCATTCTTCCTTAGATGGCATGCGGCCCTTGGTACTTAAAACAACATTTTTAGAAAGTCCTTGGGCCTCAGTTTTGTGGGAGAACATAACACCGGGGGGTCTGGGAAGTATGGAAAACTCCCCAGAGAACGAAGATCTTATGATAGTTGTAGGGAAATGAATATTAAGTCTTTCATTGTTTGCTGGAGGGGGGGGGGGATCATAACACCGGCCCTGCATTCTTCCTTAAAACGGATACTGCCGTTCGCACTTCCAACATTTTTGAATGTCCTTAAGGCTCAGAATACGGACATGTTATGATACCTTCAGGGAAATGAGCATTGAATATTTCAATCCTTTGGAGGGGGGAGGGTTATACTAAGAAGCTCGATAGAGAACGTAGAACTAGGCAGTTTGGGAGTACCCCCAGGGAACGAAGATGTTGTAAAGAAATGAAAATTAAATCTACCATTGTTGGTACCCCCCCCTCCCCCTCCCAAACTCCCCCGTTGTGAATTCCTCCTGAAAACGGATACGGCCCTTCGCACTTACGTCCATAGACCTCGGTTTTGAGGCAGAACGTATATAGCATCGGGGGGTCAAGAATACCCCTCAGCACACGAACATTTTATGATAGATCTAGGGAAATTAACATTGAATCTTACATGCCTTGGGGGGGGTCAACATTAAAGCTTCCATTGGTGGTACCCCCAGACTCCCCGGTTCTGCATTCTTGCGCCCTAGATCGCATGCGGCTCTTGGCACTGAGTTTTGTGGGAGAACATAGCACCGGGGGGTCTGGGGAGTATGGAAAAATTGCGGTGGGGTATTATAACCCCCAGGTACGGAATACCCCAGCGTCACCTTGACCTACTTCTCAAGGTCGCCACCAAGTGGCGAGCTACCTTGAAGTGGTCCAGGAACCCCCCTGAATAACTACTAGAATAAGTGCTCTCCTTTAACCTCCAAAACATAATTCGCTTACAAAGAAAACTCATCGATAACAATATTCAACATAGGGCTTGGCCCCCAGGGGACTTCGTCTCCCCCACTCCACCGAGATCGGTTGGTGATTTTCAGTATACTATTGTTCCACTTGAAGTTTTATGTTCAACAGATAGATGTCCTTCTTGTACATTACGCCGATCCTCCTTCGTTCATTCTTTCGACGCACGCAATGTACCAAACCTTCCTAGGGCGATTATTCCGGTGGCGAATGTGGGGAGTTAAATTTACCGAGAACTAATAAGAAATTGCGGCATTTGCGGTAAATTTATTTCTAATTCGCGAGTGTTTTTCTCTTAGCGAAATTGCACTTTTCTGAATATAATTTTCCAATTTCCAGTAATAAAACTAAAGCAATTAAGTCAAAACATCTGATAAAACAGCGTCTCTCATCGGCGAAACTTTTCCTCCATTACTAATTAGAAGTTAATTGGACAAACTTTCTAAGTGCGGCCTCGAATGTAAAGAATTAATCTAATTAAAGCAAAGCGGACCGTTTATTCGGGAAAAGGAGGGCGCCGCTTTACCTTATCTTTATTTAGAAAGTTGAATGGGCCAGATATTAATTTTACTTACTGTACGGCTGCGGCCTGGAACCGTAATGAGGTTCTTGTAAGAGTGGCTGCGGTCGACCGTTCACGTTCTCCTTTGCTGAAACAAGAGGCGCCAATTAGAAATTTGGCAACACTGAAAACTACCGCCAACTTACACATTTAAATTTCGAACACGCAATTTATCGCGACTTAGAAAATCTGTACGGATGTACCATGATTTTACTTTTTTCACCTCGACGTTTTAATTTATTTACATACGAGTACATTAAAAATCGTTGTTGCATTACTTAGACCTTTTATGGACCACGCCATGGACGAGAAAAATTAGAAAATCAAATGAATTGATGGTTCGTCTATCTTTACCGAGTAATCCGACAGAAAATCGACACAAAAAGCCCTTGAGCGTTTACACAGCACGCTAAAAAATAATGCCACGAAACAGACCAGATGCGATAAGCGACTTGAAGTGTCCTTTTAAGGGTCATTAAGCTCAAATCGTAGTTGACGCGGATAAAGGAATGCGTTTAACGGGAGAGAAAAAAAATACCAAACAAAAGAAAATCGATCATCCCGGCGATTCCCGCTTCGTTTACTAAAATGAAAAGAAAATGTTTCCTTTGACGCAAAATCGCCGCCGGCGGCGTAAAACAAAAACAAAGAAGTGGGGGGGAGACGGCATTGTTGCGGAATTCCGGTCGAAAATAATTGAAGTAAAAGCGGATTGCCTCTCAATCTCATCAGATACAATCGACTTATACAAGACAGCCGGTATCGATCGCCCAACTTTTGAGGGAAAAAAAAATCCCCCTCGGTTTTATTAAGTGACTGTTTGTATCTTTACAGATTCAGATATGCAAGCATTTTCGAGGCTTTATCCCGAAATTGAGGTCTGGTATTTTGCCTAAGGCGAGCTTTTCAATGAAAAAAGAGCAAAACGTCAAGCTAGATAAATTGCGTGTAGCTCGATTTCATAAATCCTTACGGATGTACTATGATTTTGACTGTATTTAACATCTCGCTTCTTAGTTGTCCCAAAAAAACATATTAAAGTTTCCAATTGACAAATTTCATTTCGAGTAGTACTAAAAGCCCAAATCGATTTAGAAAAAAAAAGTTTCCAGTTTCCTGTTCTCTTTTGTCTCCTTTTCTGCGAAGAACTCTATTCAATTATAGTGAACGAGTTCATTTAATACATCTTGTATCTCTATAATTCCGCCCTTAAACTCGCTGTTTTTATCGCGCCGCAAACATGCCACCCACAAATGACAACCGTCGCGCAATTTCGCATAAAAAATGAAAATTTACATTTGTCTCTTTTACCTTGATCTAAATTTATGGCGCACATAAAACGTTCAAGGGGGTTTAATTTAGAGAAAAGTTCCGCTTAAATAATAAGGCTCTTCATTTTTCTAGAATATCCGAGGTGCGAGTCTCATTTGAATCGAGGGATCAAAGTTTTGTCACCGAGATCAATTTGTTTTTTTACTGCCATTGTTTACAAGATTAAATGATCTTTTATATTGCAAATGTTCGAGACTGGCGAGACTAAATTTGTTCAACAATTTTAGTATAGACATCGGATGGATTCAGGAAAAATCTACGAATTTTTCGAATCAAGTTCAATTCTGGCCCTTAAAATCCCCCCGATTGGAGTTCCACGTGTTACAAGAGAAATTAACCACCGCTGGTGGGTGGAAATCTAATGAAACGTTTTCATAAACGTGTCTGAATCTCCCAAGTTTAATTAGAAACGGGCATTCTGTCTTACAGCTGATATGCGAATAATATGAAAGGATCACGTCAATTCGGACAGCATCTCATCTGCTGTAGGCGAGATGATGAAACGGAACGGAAAAGCTTAAGTAGCAAAAGATTTATTTGCGAGAGTAATGAAACGGGAGAATGATCGAACGCGTGTTTTGTTACCATCATCCCCCGACGAGGCGAAATTAACGCGTTTTGGTAACTTGAGTACAAATTTTAATTAAACTGACATCACGTACATCTCACCTATACGAAATTAGTACATTCAGCACATTTTCAATTTACGGCCGAAAGTCGAAACGCAATCCCTCGCTCGAGTTCTTTAATTAAACACCGCGCGGAAACGCCGCAAATTCAAAGGGATTCATTGTAATCCACATGAGAGTTTCAATAAATCGGATACACTCGAGTATTGATATAGAAAAGTTCGATTCCGGCCACTAAACATTTTAGTTTGTTGTGATGAAAGAAATCTCCCTAGCAAAATGGCGCCCGAGCAAGTTTCTAGGTCGCCCAAAAATGGCACTTACGCGTACATAATTAATTGGGCTAGACGAATCAGATTGGTTTATGATTAAAGATGGCTAATTAAACTAATTAACCCCATTTGGGGGGTGTGTCGAAAATTAAAAAGTGAGTAGGGACTACGTAAGAAAAACGATTCGGTTGGTGCTCAAGAGAGCGTAACATTTTTCGTGTGTTTCGTCGCGAAGGCACCAAGTTTAAAATGTCCCAAACGAGTGAAACCATCAATCGCCCTTAAAACAATAGAAAGTGTTAGTGAGTACAAGATCTTGTGCGGAAAGTTTTACATTTAATAGATTTAATAAACAGTTTGCGCAAACGCGCACTGAGGGTCATGTCAATTTACTCAATTGCAATCAATACGCATTTAAATATTCGTCACTTTCGAACGGGTCAAATACCCACGACAACCTAGTCGCAATTTGTCAGAAACCTCTACTTAGCAGTTCCCATGCTGATAACGACCCGAATCTGACTCATCCGGACGGTCACGTACATCCCATTAATTTTGTTTTATCGCGCGACAAGCTGACACGTCTAATTTTTTCATACGGAAATACGTAAACCGAAAATGTATCAAAAAATCCCGTTAGTCTCAGGCGCTCGACAAAGTCTCCTGTTCACAGTTCAAGCGTCCACTAGCGGACAGAAGAAAGGTCTAAGACGCTGTTAGAAGGGACATATTTCAGGTAGAGCTCGTTTAACAATAAAGGTGAATTTACGAAATGAAAATAGCGGGCATAGAAAACTTCAAGGTTTATCAAATATATAGAGAAATGATAAAAAAAGAAGAAATCGTTTAAAATTTCAAATACAACTCCTAGCCTTCACGTTCGAATAAGGGTAAATAAAAAATTAGGGACATGGCGCCCGAGCAGGGACAAAGCAAGCTTCTAGGTCGTGCAAAAAAGATCCGAGAAAGATAAGAGCAGTGCGTCTAGGAAAGACTCCTGGAGGGTCAGCTAAGATTCAAGGATTTCGAAGTTAATGAGACAACATTCGTAACATATTCCGAAAAGGTCCGGGAATATTAGAAATTCACTAAGATTTGAGGAGACCCTTCAAAAGAATTCAATCGAAACTCAAAGTTGAGGAATGGCTCGAGAATCATTCGAGATTTGGGGCCCCACAGAAATTTTGAGGGGTTTAAGATCATCCATAAAAGATTCTAGGGGATCCTCGAATTATTCAGAGTCCAGGAAACAATCGGGAATGATTAGGAAAAGATTCAGGAGTGATTTTGGGAAAGACTCGGAGCACATTCCAAAAGTGTTCGGCGAGGAATTCTTTCTTTAAAACTAAATTGATAAAAAAATTGGGTTTCAAGGGTGATCCACGAGTGACTCAATAAAGACTTAAGATACAAGCACGAGGCTTCAGAGTGGAATTCAAGCAAGCTTAAGAGAGATTAAAGGATGAGTCAAGTGAGTAATAGTCTTGGTGCAAGATTCTTGATTACAAGGGGTTTTTTCGAGGAGGTACGGTTTCCTTAGAGGGCTGTCAATTGCTGGGGTCAGTCTGACGGGCGGTAATACAATCGTAATGTGCTTTACGTGACAAAATCCGGTCGTAGTGATTACTAAGTTCTATTTCAGATAAATATTCAGTCAACCGAGGCTATTACCCCTAAAGGCACCGTAATCAGTTGAACATACAAATACTTATTTACTTTATTAACGATGAAAATCTCTAGCCATACGACTCGATTACGGGCTGTACTTCGAAAAGGTTGTCGAACCACAAGAAATCAATGGGTGGAAACTCATGTACTTCTTAAAGGAAATTTCAAGAGATTGCTCAATGTACGTGAAAAAATAAAAAATAGGATTTATTTCAAGCTGCATAATGACGACCCGGACCTGACTCAGTTAGACGGTCACCTACAACCCATTAGTTTTGTCTTATCGCGATACAAGCGGGCGCATCTATTTTTTTAACACCCAATCAAATTTAAGACCCCAATCCACAAACAATCCTTCAGTAACTCGACAAGAGATTGTACTTACAATCGCGAAAGAGAACAAACCTCCTGAAACCTAGCATTGAAGATAAATAAACTGTTCCTTTATTGGGATTTGGGTAAATTTACAAAATGATAATAGAGGGCATAGAAAACTCGAATGTTTAATAAATATCAAGGGAAATGACAACAAAAGCGAAAATAAATAAATAAAACCTCAAATACAACCCCTAGCCTTCACGTTCGAATAAGGGCGTATAAAAAATTAGGGACAATAAGGGAATGTTTAATAAATGAAGAGATTTCGACTGTGGTGTACTTATACATAATTTATGGCAAGTCTTCTTTTATCTGCCGCCTTTAAACGCATTAATTATTACGACGTTATTGTGCTAGTTTAAAAGGGCCGGTAAATCTGAAATATAACCGCAAGTTCGTGAGGAATTTACTAAATTGTTTTGTGCTAATTATACGGCGTGATTTTGTAAAAGTATTTATACCTAATCGCTTCCGGAAGTCCCATTAGTATGAATCAAAAATGAAAAATGACATCGCATGCCAGTTCGTGGCCATTATTCAATTACGTTAAAAACAAAATTATAACCACAAATCCGAGACACGAATTCGCGTGCCTAATCCGCTTTCAGCTTAAACGATTCAAGTTTTTCGGAAGCGGGAGCGCCATCTTTCGCATTGTCTCGTCTATGCAAATCTCGTATATTAAGGGCAACGTAGATAAAAACTTGTACGAGTTCAAAGTTTATGAATAAGTTTGACATTTTCTGTTCCCTGCACGTCGCGCCACTTTAGCCCCCTGCACGGGCGCCACTTTCTGTCAAAGATTGCTT